CATTTCCATCAATTGGATAGAAAGGCCAGGGTTTCTGTTGGGCTTAATACGGTGATTTTAGATTAGTTTGTAATCTCTGTTGCTCATGACAACTTTGATAACTGTATGTTGAGTTATAACAAACTCTGCATTGGAATAGGCATCTCCTCGTTGAGGTGGACTCAAAGAAAGAAGAAATTGTCAGCTTTTTTACATCATGTATTTCAGGAAAACACAGAGTCCTTGAGCAATGTTGGCATCTACTATCATTGCTGCTTTAATGATGAAGAGATGAAAAAGGGGAGATGTAGCATGTCTGAAAAGCTAGTTATGTCTGAAAAGCTCGTAAGATACAAATTATACGTCTTAGAGGAAAACCCAGAAAAGAGCACAGATCTGCCTGGGTAGAGATCTTGAAAAGCAATTCACACAGTCTACTTTTTGCCTTCTGCACCTGTAAATTAGTTTGGGTCTTATACTCTGTCTCAAATTAAGATAAATTTGGACATTAACTTGCTGATCAGATGACTTTACTAGATCAGAATAGCTAACATGGAGCTTGCAGTGTAAGACAAGGCAAGGAGTCTACGTGAGGTATAGATGTCTGAGATAGGTATGTAAGCTCACCAAAGATGGGTGTGTGCCTTGCCTGGAGCCTAATGTGACCTTGGACTCTGTTGGTTGTGATTCAGGCACTGTAGGAAATGTCACTGATAAAACTGTAGACATAGAACTGAATCACTATGAATTGAAGGTCATAGTGGGCTTCCACTTGGTGTAATGGGAAGCCAGATAGCCATCAAACACTGAAATGTCTGTGAGCCCAAATCTGAATTTAGCCATCCCTGTTGGGATTTTGCCCTGGTTATGATACATGCGCTTTCAATATATCTAGCTCATTTTACACTTAACATACAATTAATTTGCTAGAGAAAAGTAAACAGGTTGAAGATGCAGTTTGATATTTAGATGAGGGAGTGGGAAAGCAGAAGCACAGCTTGTATTTTGTCTGAAAGAGTCTCACATACTGATGTGTACTTTGGCTACAATGGAAGACCAAGCTTGTATCACATTAGCCAGAAGGAGTAATCTGCAGGTACCTCTGTAACATGAAAGAGGTTTGGCCAGGAACATTTGGATAAGAACTGATTCCTTTGGATATGATTCACATTGCAATAAATATTTGCATACGAAAGTACTTTGTTTATTGAAGACTCCAGATAAATCTTAGTCCAAACTTTCCTGCCAAAGTAGTGATTAAGTGTCTTGATTTCTAGGCAGATGAAAGAATCCCGCAGTATTTGCTACAAGGTTTTTTTATTAATAGCAAATTCGCCTTTTTTTTTAGCACCGTACACAGTAAGTAAAATGGTAGAGGTCAACTACTAAACCAGCCATGAACTAATATGTGCACTGTGGCCAAGATAATAAAAAGTTTCTCTCCAGTAGTATCAATAATATGATGTTAGTTCTGGTTCTGAAGTGATGCTGCAAAACGAGTGGCCCATTCTTTTTCCAGTGTGATTAGCTGCAGGTGTTTAGATAATAGCATGAAAGTCATGCTGCTGTTTTAAAAACCCTGAAACATCAGTTTCCCTATCTGTTCAGTCTAAATATGGCTTAGCCACAAATAGTAGTACCAAAACATCCATCTCCTGGGCTTCCTGTCATGTAAGGCAGGGCAAAATGAGTTGCCATCTTTTACTCTTTTCAAAGTATAAGTTCTAAAAGGGAGGCTATTTTGATAGTAGTTATTGAATGTTTAAGAGAGAAATGTATTTTTAAAGCCGTTTTTCTGGCCTATATACAAAACTTTTTACCTGCAGAATTTCCTCAGGGCATTAATGTTTCAAATAACCCTCACACTGCTGCCTCTGACACCTGTGATTTAGAAGGGGAATTTCCGTAACATCCTCTGAGATCTAAGCACACATATTTATGCAGCCCTCTTGAAGACAGGCATGAGGTGCTATTTATCTGCATTATGGAATGAGTTTCATGTTAAAGTTGTTCTGCTGATTTGACTTAATTACCTTACCTGAAGTAAGTGGAAATTTCCATCATTCTTTGCTTGATTAAGAATGCCCAGGGTGCTCCTATTAATCTTTCTCTGCAAGTCATCCTTAGAAATGCTCTTCTGTACAGCTTTTGCAGAAAAGAGCTTTACATGACAATATTTTGGAGAATTGTTTTCAATAATTCTTTTTCTTTTTGAACCAGTAACAAATTGAGCACTGGTTCCACTGGTTGATTTTGTGTTTCATTTTCCTGTGTAAAAACTTGATTGGTGTCTGTGAGATTTTAGTACCTCACTAAAACTACTGAAGGATCTTAGGAGATGGTGCTCCTATGCCTGAGGTCAGGATGTCTAAGAATTTACTTTCCATCAATTCAGATGTAGGATCTGTTTGGATATGTGCTCTGCAACCTTGCCCTTGCAAAATGCACTTTCATTTAACATTTGTACTTGTGAGATCTGACAGAACCGCAGCACTGATGTCTGTGGGGACCCACTGAGATTGTTTAATCTAATCCCCTTCTCATGAAGTGGCATAGAACAGTCCTGTAAAATTCTAAACATCTCTGCAGAGGGAGACTCTGCTTCCTCTCTGTGCATCCTTTTTAAAAAAAAAACTACTTTTCTTATGATTAAATGGGATTTGCTGTGTTTCAGTTTGTGCCCTTTTCCTCTTGTCCTGGGCGCCATGGAGTGGCCTGGCTCCTTCTTCATTCCCTTTCACTAATTGTTTATGCATACTACTGAGACACTCCCTGGGCCCCTGACCCTTCTTGGCTCTGCGCTGAACAGTTCCAGCTCTCTCAATCTCTCTTCATATAAGAGATACTTCAGCTCCCTAATCGTCCAATTGACCCTTAGCTGGATCACTCCAGTAGCTCTGCATCTGTTTTGTATTGGAGAGAGCTCAAAGCTTGGCACAGCACTCCAGATAAGGTGTAGAGGGCTGAGTAAGGGGGAAGGCTGAGTAGAGGGAAGAATAAGCTCATGTACTCAGCTGGCAATGCTCTTTTTAATGCAGCCCAGTACGTTGTTGATGTGCTTTGCTGGGTGTATTGTTCACTACAGCCAGAAAAATGACAGTTTGCCCTTGTTCTACATCTCTTAAGAAGTAAGGATCAAAAACACGTTCTGGAGCTTTAGCCACTTCTGGGTTCATCCTGTGGGCTTACCTAGGGGTACTGGAAATATGCTGATTTCAAGCTCCTCACTGATTAGTGATCACTTTGGCATTCTCTGTCATACCTTTATGTCAAATTAGATGTTATGATTGGGATGGGAAAGAAGACAAAAAAGACGCTAGCTTATCATATGAACAGATTCAGTGTTTCCTTCTGCGTTACGTCAGAAGCTTCAGAAGACATGAGGACAGAAGTTCTGCTCCCTCTTGCAGCTTGCTCCTGTAATTGTACTGTTCTAGCTGTATGCACATAAATTCTCTGGAGCCCCACTGGTCAGCAGAAGCTGCTATCTAGGGGATGCTAATAGTAAAGCCCAATGTTTAGGAAGACAAAGGAATTTAGAAAAGATTTTCTACAGCAAAAGTTATGCAGGAGATTGGAATTAAAATGTACTGTAACGTCTTGTTTCTCATAATACGTTTTCTTCCAGTTCACTAACAATGGTACCACAAAGCATTATTGTACCCATTTAGAATGTGCCTTTGAAATATGTGGTGAATTGGGAGAGTCTGTGAAGATCTTGGAGCTTATTCTTGCTCCAGTAGGTGTTTTATGTGTTGAATAGCTGTAAAATCTAATGCTTAACATATTCAAAATCTTGGTCTTGTCTGAGAGAGAAAAAAAAAAATCATTCTTTGGATGATGAACAGAGGTGACATTATAACTTAATGATAACCTGGAAGAGTGCTTAGAGGGCAAAAAAAATCATCTCTTTCTGCTGTTGAAATCTGGTTCTTAAGTAACTAGCATATTATACTGTCTGGGTTGCTCTAAGTGGAAAGAAAGTAAAAGAGATAAGCTTGATAGAATACTGAACCCAAAGGAGTTTAACAATCAGCAGAAATTTATTTATTTATAAATAATATTTTATTGAGAGGAATCCAGAAATTAATGGTCATCAGTTATTTATACACAGAAAAACCTCCTTAGTGATTTATCTGCTGTAGGAATGTATGACACAGCTAGATTGCACTGCTTTTCTGCTTTCTATCGAATTCTAGCATGTCTCGCTTATAATTTCAGTTAGCCATTCTTGCATCCAAGGTAAGAAAATATTAATGAGGCTGAGTGAATTTGTTCCCAAAATGCCGAGGAGGCAAAATGATAGTAGACACAGGCTGATGGTAGCAAGGGAGCACAAATATTTCAGCTGATTTGTTGTGGGGTGGATCTCTGAGTGTCTTCTTTTACTCCACAGGTTTCCTAACAGTGTGGAAGTATCTAGAGACTTGCGATTAGCTTAGCTGAATGGAGGCAGTCATATTTATTATTTCCCACATGTCTAAAAGCCATTTATAGATGCTAGATGTTGTTAGGCATAAAATGATCAGCTTTCCCATGCTCCTCTATTGAGTATGTAAAGGCACCCTTTCTCTTTCACATTTTGGAGGCACTGGAGAGCTGCTTGCAGTTCTGGGTTTCTTTCAATTTAGAGCTCTGGGAAAAGAAGTGCTTTGGGAAAAGAAATGCAGGTGGAATAAAAAGAGAGAAAAGCCATGCAAAAGCTCACATCTTCACAAATTCTTTGGTGATTGTTAGAGACATTGATCATCAGGAATTGTTACCCTGACATACTGCAGATGTGTCTACCTGCAAGAACCAATATTCCACTATCTCCACTCTGGGAAGAGTAACTTGTAGAGCCTGTGAAAATGTCTTCCCCACATTTAACCTTTAAGAATGCCAATGAAGTATTATTTGAAAGGATTTCACAAGTCTCTTTCCAGTCTAAACCCTCTTGAGTGGGAGAAATGCGGAGACATGGCATCATGTTGGTTTTCCTACATTTTTACAAGGTTGTCTTCCTCTTGTGCTTTCTCTAGGGGCTACCAAGGACATGGGAAAGATGCTGGGTGGGGATGAGGAGAAAGACCCTGATGCTGCCAAGAAAGAAGAGGAGCGACAGGAAGCCCTCAGACAAGAAGAGGAGGAGAGGAAAGCCAAGTATGCCAAGATGGAGGCTGAAAGAGAAGTTATGAGACAGGGGATTCGAGACAAGGTAGGGATCTGGCTTTCAGAACGCACTGAGTGACTTACAGTGCTCAACGGAGAACTGCTGTTTTCAGCTGATTTGTAACCAGTCCCCTGAACACCCAGGTTAAAGCCAGGTGATTACTCTGGCACAATGAGCTTTCTATTTTGTGCACTGTTCCTGGATCTATGTACCTGATTAAACACACCTTTCATAACGAGAAGCACTGGAATATTGAAATAGAGAGTGAAGGAGTGAGGTGAAAACTGTTTTTCTCATCTTCTGTTAAATGCTCACATTATTCCAAATGCTACAGGCTTCTTTATGTGCCTACAGGCTTCTTTATGTGCTCTCCAAGCTTACATTTGCTGTTTATGGGGAGTGTCATCATTCACTGTGCTTCTGAGAGATAAAGTCTGTATTACTTTGGAGGCTTTATTTGTGTCGATGGTTGAAATGGCACCAATCTACTCAACTTTTTATATTTGGCTGCCACTACTTACAGGAAACTCAACTAGAAAGAGAGGTTCAGTTACCTGAGGAATTTAACCATTGGGAACCAATCTCGTCTACTGAATTTAATTGCTGATTCTTGGAATGTCACCATTTAGTGTGAAAAGAAAACAAATAATTGTGAAGATTCAGAATGAGACTGAAAACAAATGTGTGAAACAAATCTTTATTAGAGAAATTAGCTTAATCTAAGATTGCTGAAACTATTTTTACAATGCATTGGGTTTTGGGGATTTCTGTGTGTACAAAGAAGGCACTTTTGCTTCCTCATCCTCAAGACCAAAACAGCCTCTTTTGAAAAACTGAATTTTATAGGAAGAGGTCCTGGAGCTCTTGGAAACAGCATGGCTAATGTTAATGGAGAAGTTCCTAATAGTGAAGACTTGTGCCATGGTTTACAACATTTGCCAAAGAAAAAAATGTCTGGAAAGGAGTAGAGGCTAAGTGCGAGGATGGGGTATGGTAGCTCAGCTCTCATGGCGTGTTCAATAACAATTTTAGACAGAAAACTGTACATTAAATGAGGAAGTCCTGCTAAGTATAAGAGATATACCATGCGCTGTGCCTACAGTGCAGTAGGAAAACCTAGGAGTATCTGGGGGAAAGCTTCAGGTCTCAACACATTGCTGAGAGTGCCTGTGCATAAACAAAAAAACGACAACATGAGGCTGACCTTCTGATGCTACCATTATGATTCAGGACAGAAATGTGAATAAGGATGTGCTGCTCTTAAGTCATAGAGCATCTTGGAAAGAGGTATCAAGAACTGTTCTGCAAATAAAGAATTTGGGGCTTAAGCTTCTAAGAAGGCATAGAACTTAATGTCAATCATCTGGCTCTGACTCTGCTTCTGCCAGACAAGGGTATTCATATGATCCTTAAAGAGAAGGTATTAGTTATAAGACAGACAGATTCAGAAATTTAACTTTGTCAAAATCTGTTATTTTGGGGGGCATATTTAGTGAGTATGTATCCCTGTATTGTAACATTTTAATATAAATATGTTAACGTGTGCACTGTGTACTTACTGTGTTTTGTGTGTTTCTAAACATTGACATGAGTCTGATTTTGTCATTAAGAACTGTGATGAATTTCTAGTTGCAGGTACCTGGCCTAATGCCTTTTTTCCAACAGTCACTATCTGCTCTTCTTTGCCACTGAAGTGACAAGATAGATGGAGACTGCATTTGTCTTGATATTAGATAAACAAAGATAGATGTCACCTGAAGTGTTCACTGTTACAAATCATAGGAGACCTTGACCATCATAGAATAGGTGCAGACAGTTTAAGCTTGGCTGAAACATCTAGCCGATAGCAGTTTCCCATGGACATTGACAGCTTTGCTGAGTCAAGCTGAGTACTGGGTGTGGAAGTCTCTTGGAAATACATTGATACCTGATCAGTGTTGCTTTGAGTGGCGAATTGTTGGCTGTGCATAGAGGGTAAATTGGAGGAATGTTGTTTGATCTCAATCAAAGCTCTGTACTGCAGCTCTTACAGTAATGTGGTGGGTTATATTTGATATTAGCAACAGGGTCTTGTGAAATGCAGGAACCCATTCACTGGTTTACTCTTGTGGGGATAATCTCAGATAGCATGGCGGTTGAAAGAGGAAGCTGTTTTCTGCAGAATCAGAGAAGACAGATAAGGCTATAGGAAGGAGCAGTTTGGAATTTCTTTTTTTTTTTTTTTCCTTTTTTCAGCTTGACGGATGTGAAAAAGGGAGATTGCTTTATCCTGGCAGAGATCAATTTGATCAAGTATTGTAACTCAGTGACTAGAATTGTGAAAATAGTTTCAAAAGACTAGAAAAAAGCAATTGTTTTATTTCCTTCCTTGTTCATTTAGGAATGACCTTTGACTCTTTAAACAGAAGTCATTTTCATTTCCTGGAAACAAAAATGTAAAAGAGTATAAAGCCAAAACACAGATTCTGTGTCAGATAATAGAATCTGTTGTTAGCAAGTATGAACTATATTTGAGAAGTTTTAAATGTTAGACATCTCTCAGATGATTTTTTCCTTTTTATGTGAAGGAGTAAGAAATGAGCAAGTAAATTGAGAGTGTGAGTAAAAATAGATTATTTATTCAGAAGACGAGTTTGAAAGTACAGCACCTGGATCACAGACTCACAGCCACTGACACACCGTTAGTGTGGCCCAGGCACAGCTCAGAGCATAACAGCTTCATGAATCAGCTAGTATTGCTCTACGCAAGGTCAACTGAAGCAACTGATTTTTCATGTTGTTTTGGACTTTCTACCTTGGTACTTCAAGAACTGTCATGAATAACATCTCTCTTCTATGGCATCAGGAAAACATGGGAGCCATGGTGGAGCTTGAAAGGAATGATGCAGTACATATGCTCCAGCTAACTTCTGGTTTTTAATCCACTCTGTTAAACTGAAGTTACATATGAACTCAGCCAACATGGCAGCCAGGCGCAAGGAATCTTTAGGGTAATGAAAGAATAGATTATGCTGCAACCAAATATTTTTTCATTAAAAAATACAAAACATTTTTGTCTAGAAATAATTTTCAAGAATGACATTTGGAGATGACATTTTGAATTTTTTTGGCACCAGTTACTACGTGACATTAAAGCCAGCTCGTTCCTAATGTTAAAGTTCAGACTCTGATACAAAAATGGATTGATAGTGTGTGAAGAACTTCCTCCTACCCCAAATCCTATGTATGGAGCTTGCTTTCTGGCCTGATCCAGGTCTGACCCAGGCTTGATCTGAATGCTGCTGCTTCATACATTTTCTGGATTCTTCCACAGCTGCCTCTGGGGAAAGGTGTCACACTGGACTGCCACAGACAAAACTGCTGAGGGGCCTTTAATGCCCCTGAGCCAGATGAGTCAGTTCCTGATGCTCAGATGGTGGGGCAGTGAATAGCTAATATCTCTTTTAGCTTGATAACAGCCTAGCACCGGAGCTATCAGCATGCCATGCAAGAACAGCCATCTTGTTTCCAGTGCTCTTGAGTTGAATATCCTACTCCATAACCTTGTGTTACATACCTGCATACACAGGCTGTGAAATCTATTTACTTTTCTCACTGTTAAAATGCCTAATTACTTAATTACACAACTGTTTCCTTCATTGTGGTGGAACTCAGGCCTGAGAGAGCTCTAGGACGTGCTTTGTGATTAACACTCCACCCATCTCAGCTGCTAGTGAGATAATGCCTGTAGTATGGCTTCCTGCAAATCTTACTCATGCTTTGGAAAACGGATATTGCTGAGTGCACGCTGAAAGTTAGCAAAAGCTTGGGACTGTTCCTTACAGAGATGGGTTTCAATGAGAAAGTATTTAAGCGTGGTTCTCTGTTCAAATGGCTTGGCTTCAAGACAGAGTTCAGGTTTGTAGTAGTTATTGTACACTCAGTTCTCAGTGTAAAATGGGGTAGTGTCTCTCACGTAGCTTGTTTTTGACTAGCCTTATGTGCTGTAGAGAACAAAAGTGAAGTTTACTTATATTGTAAAGAATTTCTGCCCTGAAAGCTCAGCTTGCAGTCTGCATAAGAAACATAAATGTGGCAAAGAGAAAATTCAAAAACATTCATAGTTGCCTCTATGAATGTAATTTACTTTGCTGGATGCTGTTTAAAGATTGTGACACACTGCTTAGTGGCACAGTCGTGTTCTGTTTGTGATACTAGAAACCACACTTCTCTCATTGCATGCAATGAGCTGAACTGCTTGTTTAATAAGCAGGTGTACAGTACTTCATCTCTGCCATCCCAGCCTCACTTACTAGGCAGCATCTTGTTATCGTTGCTGTGCTTTCTTTAGCATAGTTGATTAAGATACCCACAAGACCTTTACCTGAAGTAGATATATCTCCCTAATTCTTCTGAGATTTATTTGGAAAGGGAAAAAATGTTTGTTTGCTTTCTATATTCTGAGTTTAAAAAATAAATAAATAAATAAAATCATTATGTATTTAAAGCCCTGGTGGCAAAAGAATGCTGACATCTCTTTGCATCAGCTGGCCCTGCTATGCAGCACTTGCTTGTCTCAGTGTTGGCTGGCAATGAGAAAATGGTGTTGAGAATGCTGGTGTTTGCTCCTGTAGGCAGCATATCAGACAATAGGAAAATGTGCAGTCTTTGTTCTGGTTAAATGTGAGTCCATCTGTCTCTTGATTAGAGCCATTATTTCTTAGCTTCCATTTAAGCAGTTAAATGCTCTCAGTTGATTAGAAATTTTCATCTGTAGGCAATAAGATTCTCTGCAGTATTTGGAAATGTCCATGTCCTATGAAAAACATGAAAAATTTTTTGTTCTTTGAAGATATTTGGACTTCCGTAGTTTCAATATCTCCATGATTGAAGTTAAGTGATGTTAGAATATTTGGATTACTGACAGTTGGAGAAGTTAAGGCTTTTGTACTCTCCAGAAGGAAAGTATTCCTATAATACTGCTTTCTTCTTCCTTTTTATTTTTTTTACTGCTTTCGAAACTCACTTTTAGTGATAAATCGCTCAGACAAAAAGACAAGCAGAAC